TGAAGAAAAGGGGCCGAGTTTCGTCCCTGCCCCCACACTCGCCTCAGCTGTCGCGGGTAATGAAAGCAGGTGATGGGGAAAACAACGAGATTGTTGTTGGCGGCGGTGGTGGTGGTGGTACCACCGGTGGAACTTTTCAATGCCCTCCTGGAATGGAGGGCTTCTGGCAGGCGTTGTCTGCTGATTTGGCTTACGCACAGGCTTGCCTTGTGTGTGCTCTACTGGTGAGTCGGGTTCCGTGGAAGTTTGCAAGTTTTTTACATTGATTGATCAACTAGGTGATTAGAACTCAAGGGGTCTTCTACGCAGCGAGAAAACCTTTTTTAAACTACATGAAGCTGATTGGTGATTCCAGTCAACCAATCACACGCCAGTTGTTATCTTGCCAGAAAATAGAGCCAACACAATAGTCTTCTACTGATCCTTCCTTGTGTTCATGATGACTTGCAATGAAATCTGGACTTATTCTTATCCCAAGTCCAAATTATCGTGGATTGTACTGTCCTTTTGCGCCGCAAATATGGATTATTAGGTTTGTATAGGTCTTCCAAAAGGCAAATTAACCCAAATTTGGTATAAGGTATCCTCAGAAAAGCAACTTGCGGGCTAACAAACTACAATTTTTTTAAAACCAACTCGGAATAGTGTTGTATGAGAATCATTTCTGACAATACAAGTAATCTTTCTCATTTGAAGGAACTTCAAAGAATCTAGTTAGCACTTTACAAATATTAGCGGCATTCATGCTCTTCAAGAGTTCCGAAGATTGCCAATTTGGCTTGCGAGCTAATGCAGCCTGATGTATGAAAATTAGTTATATGTGACTATACGGTCTGCTAGGCTGAAATCACACGAACCGTATGCGTGTTTGACTGTTGACACAAATACAAACACGTCGGAGAAACAGAACACGACCAGACACGCGAAAATGTACTGAAGCCTGCAAGCCATTCTCACTAAAAAAATTGCCCGTATCTATAGCGCCTCGTTCGAGTTGGCTATATTCTGTCCAATCCGCTTCATGAGAAGGTTCCAGCGAAGCCGAGCATTTTCTCGTAGACATGGACCAATCAGACCTTAGGAGACATTGTGGCCACAGCTAATGCGGGATGCTGTCGAACACGTATTCAAGGCACGCAGTGGGGGAGGGGGGGAGAGCCGCGCTCACTTGTTTTTCCGTGAGATTTACTCTTCTTGGGAATGCAGACATTCCCAATGCTCTTTATATTAATCTAATGCGGTGTGCTGAGTTTATTTCAGACTTACCCATTCTCAAAAGTATCTTGTACGGTGTGTTTCGATAGGATACATAATACTAAAGTATGGCGAGTACTGCAAGCAAAATGCCGCAATTTGCGAAAGACTGGTAATCACTCGCAAACCAAAATTAAGTAGAGTTGCAATACTGATTTTCGTACAGTTTAATCGTTTATGGACAAACCGACCGATTTCGCGACCTGGTTCACCCGCGACACCAT